CCCCAAAACCCCAAAACCCCAAAACCCCAAAACCCCATATTAAAAATTAGGAATAGAAGATCCCACTTATAAAATAAATGATATCTAGACTAGGAATTAATGGATTCGGGAGAATCGGAAGATTAGTATTCAGATCAGCTGTATCTGGAGATAAGAGTCAGGTCTTGGCAATCAACGACCCATTCATGTCAGTTGATTATCTGATCTACCAGCTCAAATATGATTCAGTTCACGGTAAGAATCTTTACAAGCATATCTAATATCTTTGTAGGAAGATTCGATGGTACAATTGAGAAAGCAGATGGAGGTATCAAGGTCAACGGAAACTTTATCAGAGTCACCCACGAAACTGACCCAACCAAAGTTGATTGGGGAAGCTCAGGAGCAGACTACATTTGTGAAAGCACCGGTGTATTCACTTCCCAGAAGGCTTGTGAAGGCCATCTCAAATCTGGAGCTAAGAAGGTAATCATCTCTGCTCCTCCAAAGGATGATGCTCCTATCTTTGTCTTGGGTGTCAATGAGAAGAAATATGAATCAGATATGACTGTAGTTTCAAACGCCTCATGCACTACAAATTGCCTAGCTCCTGTTACAAAAGTGCTTCACGATAACTATGGCATCGTTGAAGGATTAATGACCACTGTCCATGCTGCTACTATTAATCAATTAACTGTTGATGGTCCATCCAAAGGAGGCAAAGACTGGAGAGCTGGAAGAGCTACTGGAGTCAACATAATTCCATCCTCAACTGGAGCTGCTAAAGCTGTAGGAAAAGTCATCCCAGATCTTAATGGAAAATTGACTGGAATGGCCTTCAGAGTCCCAACTGTCAATGTGTCTGTAGTTGATTTGACAGTCAGACTTAGTAAAGGAACAACTTATGAAGACATCTGTGCGAAAATCAAAGAGGCTTCTGAAGGATCTCTTGCGGGAATTCTTGGATACACTGAAGACTCAGTTGTATCAACTGATTTCACCACCGATGCTCGTTCTAGTATCTTTGACGCTAACGCTGGAATTATGCTTAGCGATAAGTTCGCTAAGGTAATCACTTGGTATGATAATGAGTGGGGATATTCTAACAGATTGGTGGAACTATCTCACTACATGGCTTTCAAGGATGGTAATCTTGCTTAAATTTCGTATCTTTAAAAGATTCTACCACATGATTGCTAAAATTTCATAAAATAGCTATTTTCAATTGGGTATTTTGAGAAAGGGGTTTTGGGGTTTTGGGGTTTTGGGGGTTTTGGGG